TCTTCTTTATCTTGTGTTTTTATTTATATTATTTTTAATTTATTATTATTGTAATTTTATTTCATTTCTTTGTTTTTTGTTTTTGATTTCTTCTTCGATTGTTTTAATATCTTCACTTGTCCAATCTTTTGTTTTATCTTTGAATTCTTCTTTGTTTTTCTTTATTATTTTATTCTTTCTTATTGAATATACTTCTTGGAGGATGTTGTACATTCTCTTTATCTTCTTATTTTTTATGTATTTTTAATTATTCTCGTTTCACAACTTCACTTCTTATTCTTTTATTTTTCAATTTAATTTCATTTATTGTTAATAATTTAGATTTATTATTTGTATAATGTTTATTATCATTATATTTACATTGTCTTTTAATTGTTTTTATTTGTGTTCTTCTTTTTCTATTCACTTTTCTCTTGTTATTTCTTTTATTATTATTATTATGTGTTTTATTGTTATTGAAGTTCTTTCTTTTCTTTGAACTTAAATACCTGTTTGTTGTTTGATTTTCTTTACAAGACTCTATGGTATTACTCAATAGCCATGGCAACAAAATTTGTATTTCTGCATTTTTTTTGAAAAATAAATAAAAAATAAATTTTTTTGATAATTAGTTTATGAAAAAGGATATTGAATATTTTTACTATATTACCCTTTAATAGTAAAACTGTGATAATATTATTTATATCAGAAAAAGTAGGAATAGTAAAAAAAAACAAAAGTTTAAATAAGAGTAACAAAAATTTATAAAGTAATAATAGTTAATTGTCTATTCTTCTTTCTTATACGCTTGGGTTGATTTAGATAACATAAAAACTTTTTGAATGAGCCATTGGAAAAGCACATGTAAATAATAAACAACAAATCCAAATATCCATCCTAGATAATGAACAAATAACATTGCACTTAAACGATAACGCTCTCCTTTCCAAGGTGCTAGAAATAAGTTTTAAATAAATGATAATAAAGAAAGAACAAACAAGAATGTGGATAGTATAACATAAATGACAAATTTAATCCAGTTGCATATGAAAAAGGAACCATAACATAAAAAGCCAATAGAAGGAATAAAAATACACCAAAGAAATAATAACCAAAGAACTGTCTAATTGTTGGACGAGTATTAGTTACATTAAAAACAATTGGCATTAAAAATTGAAAGGTATGTTGAATAAAATACATTGGTTTTTCAAAGAATAATATATTCTTTTTTGTATCTGGAAAAATTAATGCCACAGCAGGAAGACATGAACAATAATATAAAAATGGCGTATGTTGTGGAAAGAAGAATAGAACTATTGATTGAACAAGAAGTACACAATGACATGGCATAAATATTGAAACAATAACACCTCTTAAATATTTGTAAATGAGTTGCATTATAAAGAAAAAGATACAAAGACAACCAAGAATATTATAGTACCATTTCTTTTCATTTCTATGTACTGTAGATGTTTTAGGAAATATTAAATAACATAGAATTAAATCAACTAAACAAAATGGAATAGCAAAGAGCAATTGATGAATATTTTCTCTTGGCGATACTGTCCAAAATCTTTCATCATCGTTTTTGATTGCGATATTAATTAGTCCTTGTTCTAATATGTCGATAATAGGACTCATCCATGTTTCAATAAAGATATTAAATTGATTCATAAACAAATCAAGCATTGTACATTTGTAGATATAAAAAAAATGAAAAAAAAGGGTTTTATAAATATATTGAA